TTATTTATTTATTTTAATAGTAAAATCAATTAATAATTGGCCAATGTCTATTAATATTCATGAGAATAATTCATCATTAATGCTTGCTAAAAAGGCTTTCATGGTTCTACTACTTTTTATGGACGGCTATTTAAAGGATTTAAGTTTTGTAATGATACCCATTATTAATTGTCTTAAATTGGATAAATAAAATTGATAAAGTATTTATTTGTGCTTTGAATGATATGAAGGAGGTCTACAAATGTATCTTCATTTTATTAAATGGTGCTTTATCTTGTTTTGTAAGAACTTAATTTTGGAGTCCTGATCAATTGAACGCACTTATGATATAGTGATTGAGGTGTCAAAATGGCTGAATTTGGGAAAGATGTGATTTTTGATGATGTGCTAAATATGAAAATACCGCACAAAAACTTCAATGAAATATGTCAAGAATTAAATATTGAATCATGTATGTTTAATGAAGACTTTATGGTTAAGGGGGTGATACCAAACAAAAATTATCAGATACAGTCATACAGATCATGCATTTGTGCACTTGTGCACTTTGGGCATACTTATAGGGCTGTCAAAACGGCTCGATGTTCGGTTCGCGAACAACAGCTCGATCGTTAAGTTAACAAGCTGAACACGAACAACACAAACAAATATTTGTTCGTTCTTGTTCGGCTCGTTTTGGCTCGATATATATTTTTGATGAATAGTATTTTTAAAAAAATTAATTGGCTAGAAGGCTACAAAGATTTATAACAAATAAAATTATTAAATTAGATTCAAATAATGTTTTAATATAACAATAAGTTTTAAATTTTGTCCCAACCTTTAACATATGACTATGTGATTAGAATTGTCAAAACGACTCTTTGTTCGTGAACGGCTCAGACGGCTCATGTTCAGCCACAAGAACACACTTTTTGAGCTCGAAATATATTCAACTCGTGTTTGGCTCGTTTACGCCACTATCTTCATGTAACAAAATGGTAGGCTCACAATTAAAGAAAATCCAAAACTTATAACTGCAATTTTTATTTGCAATCTTTTATGAAAAATATAATTTTTCTACTAAAAAAATGTAATATTTCGACCGATTGCTATTAGTCCTCTGTAACGGCAAGAGAGCAAATTTAATTTCACCAAGAATGCTAAAAGATGGGAGACCGTCTTGGCGTCCCCTTCCGTCGGACGGCCCTTAGCTTTGGATTGGGTGTAGGCAGTTCGATACAAGGGCTGAGATCCTCCACTCCCCAATCGGACGGCTCCAAAGATCCGATAGAAAAAGCGCGCTCCTCCTCCTCCTCCTCCTCCTCAGGGGAGAGTTCAAGTCCTTCAAGTTTCGCCGGAGAGCAGCCGCCGTCAAGTTCCGGCGACCTCGCCATCTCCTCGAAGACTTTGCATGCGATGGAACAGTACCCGTTGTGCTCCGCCACCGTTCGCCGGCAAGACTTGCAGAACGAAGTGGCAGCGACGGCGGACTTCGACGGCTTCGATTGCATCTTAGGGTTTAGAAGGACTACCTTTGCTCCATTCACAATGTAGGGCTGCATCCATCCATCAATCGAGAAAAAAAAAAAAAAAAAAAAAAAAAAAAAGATCTCTCAATAATCCCTTAAATTGAACGCGAACAGGAATGATTGAATGAATTACCTGAACTCCGGAACAATCCGTGAACTTCTGCATATCGCGTATCCTAATCACGTTCTGGTATATGTAGCGCCGAATCTGAAGCAGACAATGGTAGCGATGCGAGGAAGATGGGGAGGAAACGCAGAAGGAGCACATGGACTCGTTACAGTCGACGCAGTAGATGTTTATCTCGCTCTTCTTCTTAATCCCTTGATGCTCAGCACAAGCGCCGAAGAATTTGGTCTCGAGAAGCAATTCCAGCCACGAAGGCTTCTTCTTCTTCTTCTTCTTCCCGTTCTTCTCCTCCATCATCTTCGATTTATAATGAAACGCATATCCAACCTAAAATTCAGTAAGAAGGAGCGAACAAGATTAAAAATCATGGCTTTAATCGAAGGATTTCGGAGAATTTGGGCGAAATTACCATGGCTTTGGTTGATTTCTGAATGCGATTAGGGTTTTAAGAGATCCGGGGATGGAGAAAAGGGAGTTTGGTTTATGGAATCGATGCGGTTCTTATGGGGGCGGAGGCGGCAAGTGACGAGCGCGAAATGGGCTGTCTCGAGACTCTCAGTTCGCCGCGCTGAGAAAACCCTAGGCGGATTTGGACACGTGGAATGGCTACGGCGGTGGGTTTGATTTCCCGCCAATTCGAGCGGAGATTCCGTTTAAGTGGGTTCCACCCACTTGTCTCGAGCAGTCAGCCACTGTTCCTGCTTTTGTTGGGTGAGCTGTCCAACCCTGTCGCATAATGTCCGGGCTTTTGAATTTATATGTTTAATACTAAAATTTAAATTTTTATATTCATTTGCATTTTTATGCATGCAAAAGTTGAAATTTAGGCGTTATAATATGTAAATACATTGGAATTGAATGATATGCATGTAAATCTTCCTTATATATATTTATTTATTTCTAAATAAAGATATTAAAATTTTGGTTAAAAAAGGTTATCAGCCTGTATTTAAAACTTGTTCAATCGAAATTCAAGGTACCTGAAATAGCCATTAATGTTTCATTGATTGGAAATACATTTACTAGTTTATTTTTATTTATTTTTGGAAAATTTATATACAAACCAATCAATTCTCATGAATATACATCCAAACTTTGATATTTATGCTTATAACATCTTAGGATCAAAAACTTTGTGAAATTTTTCGCGGGATGTTACAGAGTTGGAGTGATTATTCTGCGCGGACAACGCACATATTTAAAAATTTTTATTTTAAAAAAAAAAATTAAAGCGGGGCCACTGACATATATTTTTGGTAGAGGAATTATTTTGATCGGTTCACCGCACGCAGTTTATACGCAATAATTTTTTATATTTAGTGGTTTGTATGTAAATATGAATGTTTATGTAAAATAGGTAAATACATGAGATATGTGTGGTATGCAATCAAATGCCCTTTTTTATACTTGAATCGTTGTTACCAATAAAAAAAAAGCGGCTATTTTCTTGTGCCCCCCATGGAGGAAAGAAGGTGGTTTTATTCATTAATTTAGAATCCGCCATGCCACAGCACACTTCGCCCTTTCCTTGCACGTCTTCACTATCTCTGTATAATGTATGTTCCAGGAAGCACTCTATCAAGCCATGAATCACACCATTCATTTTTTCGTTTTGTTTTATAAAACATATATGTAACCATTCATGCAATGCCATGAATTTACCAACTCAAACTTATAAATACCAAATAAGAGGTCAGAGTTGGGATTCATGATATAAAATCTGAGGCAGTCAAATCCTGTAGCATTTTCTCTCTATTAGCAAAGTTCAGAACGTCTCTCTCTGTCTGTCTCTCTTCTTCTTTCCCCTAGGCAGTGTGAATTTTCGGATAATCAAGAGTCCATTAATATACATATCAGAGAAATTTAGTTTGAAATGTGTTTGCTCGAAATAAATTTTTGTTTGGGGTAGTAACATTATCAACTTCAACAAACTAATATAATCTAGATTCTAGAGTGCATAAAAAATATTAGGAAAATCACACATATAGTAAACGACTTTAACACTATGCATAGCCCACGAAAAAAAGTCATATGACTAATCAAGAGAGCAATCAACGGGAGCAGAGCATAGCGTACCTAGTTTTCTTTGGTAAAGTTTGCCAAACATAATTAATCATGCCACTATATTTCAGGGTTTTATTCTTGTAAAAATTTATTAGGGTTTCGATGGAAGTCATGATAAAAGTCTATTTTTTTCTTTGAATCAATTTCCCAAGCTAGGTGACAAAAGATGAACTCTCTCAGATGAGGTAATTTGAAATCTTATTCATAAAAAATTTTTTAAGGGAATTCTTAGTGCATTTTGCCCCTGCAATTAGCTAATGAAAGCTTAAATTATATTTGTGAAAAAACTTGTCTGATTTGCACTACTAATTTTAACTGTATTGAAAGGATATTTTGTTAGAAAAGCGCGAGTATTTAAAAGCCTTCCAAGTATAAATCTTTCTACAAAAAGCCGAATAGACGCTGGATTGATTCTGGTGATTAATGTAACACTGTTTGGCACTTCATATCCACAGCGGTCCGCACCATTGTCGCGGCTCGATCTTATGGGTCTCGGCCCTCTATATTGGAACGGAAAATTCATGATTTTGACGTGAGAGTGAGCAGATGTGGGCATAGTTGCTGAAGAGCTTTCAGTTAGAACTGTTGCTAGCTAGAGGCACCTTTAGCTATGCGTAACTCTTTTCAATACCTCGTCACCTTGTATTGAAAATAGTATCTATAAACTAAACCTGTATTGTTTAGGTCTTATTATATCCTTAAAAAAATATAAATTGAATAAATAGTAGATGAGGAAAAAGGAATTTCTTCATTGACATGAGGACCATGTATAGAGGAAAATATTGCATTCGGATAGTGTAGGTAGGACTGGTGGTATTCATGATAATATTTGTAATATTGTGGTATTATTACACCACAATATCACTAATACTATCATAAATACCACTAATATTACCAAAAAAATCACCATCCACATCTAATCCGGACGCAGCTCATATCACTAATACTATCATAAATACCACTAATATTATCAAAAAAATCACCATCCACATCTAATCCAGACGCAGATCCGATTGTAATAATTTCTCCTTGTATAGAGATGCAAACGAGTTGAATGAGTTTGTTTGTGTTCTGCTCATTCAAAATTCTTTTCGTTTAAAATTGACACTTGAATAATATGAATTCATTATTTTGATTGTAATAATTTCTCCTTGTATAGAGATGCAAACAAGTTGAATTTGAGTTTGTTTGTGTTCTGCTCATCAAAATTCTTTTGGTTTAAAATTGACACTTGAATAGTATGAATTCATTATTTCATATGAATTCATTATTTTTTTTCGGTTCAAAAGTAGTTCAAATTATTTAAAAAATTATAAAAATTAACATTTTTTTAAAATAGAATATAAAAAATTAATATAAAATTAGTGTAATAATTCATTTATTTAATTATTTAATTACCAAGAGTCAAAATGAGCCAAATATGATCGAGTAAAATTTTATTCTTAATTATTTTTAAATTCAGCTAAAAAAATTATCCATATTTGATTCATTAATTCAACAACGAATGAAATACAAGCAACATGAGATGCTTGAGCTTTTTTTTTGACAGCCCTAACCTTTACTGGCTCTACAGCCAGATTGATTTTCGAGGTTTTATCCCCAGTTGGCCCAATCAAACAGAATAAAACTATATTATTAAAATACTATGAGAATCAATTTGTCCGGTACAGAAGAAAGAAAAGTAACGCATCCTATCAGCCAGAAATGTGGGCAAACTTCTATAGATCTGAATTTCCAGGCAAGAGAATTTAGCCATTTATTCATTATTAAACCAATGAGGCCTAAGAAAATTATATTCTCATCTATTCCCTAACTAATTTCGAAGTTTGAATTACTAAAAGAATAGCTGTTAAAGGTGTATGTGCCCTAATTTTCTTATATTTATTCAAATCAATACTGCAATTTCTTATCTATTCTGCATACCAAATCCTTACCGGTTGAAATGGAAGAAGAGACGACGCACCAGCCATGGATCAACTCTCAGTTCTCAAAGCCCATAGATGCGTATTTCACAAGCCAATCGAGACTCTGCAAGGAAACAGATTCAACAACATATAGAGTGCCGGGTAACTTTTGGGAAAAGGTTTTTAGCACTGAGATTACAGGAATTGGAAATAAACTTCACCTGTATACATTCCGGAAGGTCATCGGTTTTGCTCCTCACGTGTGTCTACAAATGATGGACGGCCAGGATTACTGGATTAGGCCAATGTTCTACACATTCATGAAGCAATTGCATTGAATAAAGCCGTTCTCCGGGATTTTTTACCTCCAGGACCACATCGCAGTAAGAATCGTTGTTGGTTGCGAGACAGGCGAGGATGACGAGCCCAGCAGCTACAGTGGAAGGCCAGAAGCAGAGAATTCCGTGGTCTAATAGGGTCAGAATGGCTAAGTGCCGACACAGGTCTTCCACTTTAGCAGTTGCTCTCGCTGCTTTCATATAAAACCTAGAGCCATACATTACATCGAAGTTAGCATCGATGTTTTCGATATTTCGAAGGGAAGGAGATGAAATTAGATGAAGGAAATGAAATACTGAATGTACCATAAGAAACTGTGTGTCGTGGGAAGGAAACATTGGAAGCTGAGAACCTCAAGAACGAGCCACTCCATGGAAACTACATCGCACCTCTTATAGAAATTGTTGCCCACTTTGAAAGATTTCTGCCTTACGCTGAAATAGAAGCAGGAGAGCTAAATCTATACAGAGCAAATTAATGTGCTAATTGTTCTAGAATTATAGAAACGATGAATTTTCTGTTCTGGTTGGGCATGCAACCTATTGAATGGCTGGTTCTCTTCGAGCCTCGTAGCAAGTGTCACACAAGCAATGCCGAGCAGCTGGAGATTCCTCTCGGTCTGGAAATATCCTCTACTCAGTACTCTGTCCATTAGGTTAACGCCCAAGAAGAGTGTCTCGTCCTGGTGTTCCATTGCCTGGCAATGCTGCAGCCATTGTTTTTGAGAGTAAGAGAGCATTTGGAGATAGGAAGCATGAGAACTAAATTGAAACAGAAAAGCTTCTCATTGAGAAATCAGTGCGATCAAATTAATTTGCCTTCCTCGCCAAGACGATTTGAAGGGTATTTTAGTAAAGAATAGGTAAATTATATAACCTCCTTTCTGACACGACGTAATAAAATCAATTGCGCCGCCGCAAAACTCATCACATTCATGATTACCAGATTAAAAAAAAAAAATCATAACCGTACATATGGCCGAACATATCAAAATGAAGTGAGACCGACTTGCATTATCGAAATTCTGTCAAGAACCCCAATAGATGCGATAACGGAAAAAATGGCAACAGAGAAAAAGTAAATTGGAGAGAGAAACATTAAAAATGAGATTGAACAAAATCAGGCTGTTACCTCCAGCATCCAGTTCACCATCACGAGCCTTTGCCCGAGAATAAGATCTCCGAAATTGGTTTTACCGTAGTAGCCATCGGAATAGTCATGAAGAGCAATCTCTTTTCTCTCCCTGCTGCGGAATACCTGGTAGCTCTCCTCAATGTCTTTATCAGGAAATCTTACAAACTGCAGTAATCGCGCAACTGAATAAAAGCGCATTATAAAACACTGCAAATTAACAATAGAAGTAGGGCCTCAGACTTACGACGAGCTCATCAGATAATTCGTTCAGGACTTGAAATTTCACATTGCTTTCTGAATGGAAGCTGGAAGGGTTGAATTGCTGCCAGAGTTGTTGGAGGAGAGAGAAGGCGACTGAAGGGATGGAATTATCTCTAGATCTTTCTGAGAAGTCTTCCGGAGACTCGATGATGTCGGAGAGTGAGATTTCCGAGGAGTCTCCCTTATATAACCCATCGAAGAGGTCCGATTCCAACTCTGATAGTGTTCTCTCGTTGCAAGCAGAATAAGCTGAGCATTCCTCGTCATCGAAGAGCTGCTCCGGGCAGGCTAGATCAGATTCAAGGTCGAGGTCATGCGTTTTTTCGCCTCGAATGGCGGTATCGCCTTTGAACAGGAGCTCGCTGGCCCCGGCCGTGCTGGTACCAAGGATTAACTTGACATTGGCCTCTGAAACTTCTGTTTGGAGACAAGAGGATTCCGAGACATCCAAAACCTTCGTAATTGATTTATTAGTATTTTTTCTAACCTTGAGATTATCTTCAGGAAGTGTTGTGGACATTTCAGAAACTCCAGAAATTGTGATCGCATTTCCATCGCTCTCGGCTGGTTCCGATCTTTTGCTTACTATCGCTGAACCAGAAATGGGATCTACTGATCGATCAACCCCGACGGCGAACCCCTGAGATCGCATTTCATTCATACGTTTCGCGTAAAATCTGGTGATAGGCCGGAACGGATCACTTGAAGAATTCCATTGGAAGCGTCCAATAGATTTACTCAAGCGAAATGTGCGTGATGATCTTGGCCTCTTCGGATGTCCCCTGAATTCGTTGCTGATGTCGTTTGAAATCTCGCTACTGAAGCATGAGGAAGAAGACTCTGAATCCTCCTCCGAAACAAAATAGCCACTCAAAGTAAAACCGATGATCGGAACGTCAGGAATCCTTTTCCGTCGGGGAATGTTAGATCTGAGCTTCTTCGCCGGATAAACCGGCTCCATCGTCCATGGCCGCTTCTCATCGCATCGTAGGGAGATCATACTTGGATCCATCACTGGCACAGAATTAACTGGTGCTACACTTAGCAGTCGGATGAGATCTTCGTTCCAGAATCCAGCACGTCGGGCGGGAAAAGGATGGAGAGAGGATCACAGCGGCTGTGAGAACAAAAGGGTAAGTGGTGGGAAAATTCTGTTATGAAACAGGTATTTATAAAGCAGCGAAACGGTTACTTACATCAGCTTCGGCCGACTAATGATTTGGCCCTTTGATTCTTTTGCCCGTCAGTTGACGCCAACTCAAAGATTCTTCAGTTTTGGTTAAATACATATAATTCCATTTGAACCTTAAATATTTGCAATGTAAATATCTAATTGTTCATTTATAGTGATATTATTCCAAATTTAAAATATTACATAATTTTTATCTGCAGTTTTTTAAAATTAATTCCTGATTGAGTTCATCATGGTTTATATATGAATACGTAATTTTATTAGTTTTAATATGTCATTAAGTAACTCGTTAATCAATTACATAAAGGAGATATCTTTAAAAGTAATTTAAGCATGAAAATAATATATATATATATATATATATTAAAAAACCTAGATGACAGTTCTCTTACAATCATCTCTTTTTAAGAGGTCGTTGAAAAAAATAATTTATCGTCTTAAAAATTTTTAGAAAACAACAAAGAGAATTCTCCAGGAAGAATTGTAGTGAATGTCTAAAATGCAAAGCAGACAAATATTTCTTTGACAGACACAAATTTTCACTAAACATATCAAAGATATAGCTTCCATAAATTATCAATGGATCCTCATTCTTTAATTACAAGTGTTTTAAATGAAAAAGTGCTTGGAGTCCTACCACATGATCAACAAAGACAATCATTGTCTACAAATGCCAACGATTCATCACCTTCATCATACTATCATGACTAAATTTTCATCGCTTGATTACCATTGCCTGATCATCGTTTCCCGACTGCCATCACCTAATAACCATCTCTTAATTGCCACTAATCAAAGTCATCACTTCATAATTTTATAAATATTCTGTCATATTTAAGATAGCAATCCAAACTTTATTATTTTGCCTTCTTCCTTTAAAAGAAAGAGCTTATTGAATTTTTACAATTAATCGAAAGATATGAAAAATAAATAAATAAATAAATAAGCAGCTTCTTTTTAACTTAATATTCGTCTCATTTAACATTTTTAGTATACAAATTTGCAAATAATTGGATCAAGATATATTGACAAAGGTCATCATAGAATTAATCCAAAGTTTATAATATTTTGTCCGATCATGTTAAATATACGCTACAATATTTAAAATTTAGGATCTAATACATGTTCTACCTTAGTACTAAATCTAGGTTGGCAAGGCTTGCGCCTTTCTGCCCTAATCAATGCTTTCACGCACCCGCAAAATAAGCACATTTTATACATACGAAACTCCACAAACAAACAAGTTAAAAGCCTCTCCCCACCTTCCAAAATGACTACAATTGCGCGCACAGAATTTCATTCCATGTATCAGGAACTCCCGGAAGGCACCAATGCAAGCAATCCTGGACTCCCTTCGCAGCCGTAAGACTATCCCTAGCTATGTGCCCCTCATCCCTCAAACCAGAAAGAGCAGTAATATCCAAAAGCTTCACCTTCGAACCCTTCACAGCACTCTCAACAACTGCATCCATGGATCCCTCTTGCAGAACCTCACTTCCTCTCAACAATGGTTTCGTGTTGTTGCAGCTGCCCCCACTGTTCCAATCCCCGTTAAGGAAATGCCTGGGAGATATAGTCCTGAAGAAGACCTTCAGCTCTGGATTCTGAGATATCTGGAGGTCAGCCCATTTAACAACGCAGCGGATGGTCAGATTCTTCGCATTTCCTATCTCCGAGAGCTTACGGTCGGCATTCGGCTTTCCTCCGACGAACATTTCCCATCTGTTTGCTCTCATCTTTCCCCGGTTCCAATGGTGCCCGGTGTTCAGAACGAGAACGTCGAACCTGTGGATGAAATTCGTTAAAAATGGCACGGGGCGATCGAGATGCATGGCGTAGTTTGTAGCTGGGTCTGATCGATTCAGTCGCTCTAGCTCGCAGAGGGTGGCTGACCAATAGTACAGGATGGTGGTGCCGGTCTCTGAGAAACGATAGGCCCAACCGTCGGGTCTCACAGCACCGGGTGCTTTGACGAGGCCATACTCTATGCCAACATCTTCCACTAGAACAAAATGCTTGCCTCCTGTGATCATACAAATCAGGGATTGAAACTGCTGCCTTCCCAAGGAATCTCCTACCAAAGCAATAGTTTTGCCCCGCATCCTGGATAAAGATCATCTAGAGAGTTAGAATACAAGAATGAATGAATGCTCTATGATAGGGGTGTGTGTAACTGAACCAAGCCAGCTCATGAGCTGGCTCAAGTTAGGCTTGATAACTGACTCGTGAACTAAGCTCGATGAGCTAATGAGTCAAGCTCAAGCTAGCTCAACTCGACTCATTAGCATGTGAGCCGGCTTGTCTAAAAAATAATTAATATAAAATATACTGAAAGTATATTAAAATTCAAAACTTCTATGTTTAAACTACTAAAAATATTTAAAATTTATGTTTTACATTTTATATCAAGTGATTTCTTATTAATCATCTCCTAAACACTCATTCTATTTTATTATAACGATAGTTTGAATTAATATTATTTTCTCTCTTTCATAACAAACAAGTCGGCTCGTGAGCTAACTCGAACTTGTAAAATTATGCTCTAGCTCGACTCAACTCATTTACACTCCGACTCTATCATATGCATAGGCAATTACATACATAGTACTTGAAACATTTCTATTTACAAAACTAACACAATTTAGCATATATTCCTTCAAATTCTCATACAAATATCGAAACTCATGATAAAACCTCAATCTATATTTTTGCTTTTATCAAATTCTCACTGATTTGATTGTGACATGCATACACACATGGGTCCGATAGTTCAGAACAAAATGATATGGGTATTAAAATTACAAATACATAGTTTTAGATGTTATGTATGCCATTATTCATATAATTTAACATTCCACCACCATAACCAAGCATTAGATATTCTGAAAACAAACCTTCTTAAGAATTCAGAGCCATCAAACTCCGGTATCTCACAGTCAAATGGCTGCCATCTATAGCTTTCATAGGAAAAGTCTTCACGTTGCATCAATCTGCATGCCCACATGTCAGATAACCACTGCTTGCATTCAAACCCAGAATATAATGGCCTTCGCATGTCTGCAACCCATTTACCCTTCTCATATTTACAACCTGAAAGCAAATTTGGCAGAAATGTAATTGCAATATAGTGGCTAAGAACACAAGCAGGCCCAGCATGAGATTTCAATACAGACAAAATCTAAATCTGGAACATCAAAATCATAGTATTGTGATGGATATGAGATAAAATTGCAAAAGAAAGTTTAATTGATTATGGAACCCAATAACAGGGTATGGTAAAAAGACTATTGATGTAAATTGTTTATGGGTCTAGGATTTATCATACAGATTTAAAATGCAATCTATTTATATAAATATCATGCAAATTTCTCAGAAAAGCACGCTATTAATCTCAAATAACCATTTACAATGTTTTTATAAAAACAAAAAAAATGTTAAATCTAATTCCTGAAAAACACTCACAATCTACTAAAAATACATAATAAATTAAAATTTTGTGCAAAAAAAAAAAACATAAATATTAAAAAATATGATAAAAATTAAAAACCAATCAATAAAAATAACAATTTCATCATTAACAATAACTTTAGAAAATAGATGTGGGCTCCAAAATTTGATGCCCGCCGCCTCCCTCAAAAAGAAATTAACGACATGAGAGAGTTTACTGTAAGGTTCCGGGTCAAATTTTCAGAAGGTAGATGAGACGGTAAATAAGACACCATTCAAATATTTCGCCCTTATTTCGAGGGGAGTTTAAGATTTGGGGTTCGAGGTTTCTCATAGGCGCAGACTTCTATTGCTATTTACCCATCCCGATAACAAAAAAAAACACTTTCGATTAAAGCTAGTCATTAGTCAATAAGTATTTAAACTTATAATATAGTAACAACAGATTTAAATTTTGCAATTAAGAAATTTTCATAATTAGTTTAGAGTGGATGTTGGGAAACATGGTGACGAACCCGATCAGTGTCCCATGGTTCTGTCATCCCAAGTTGTCGTGGTCTCTAGTCTACTTAATTAGATAAGATAGTAGACCCGGTCTGAGATAAGGATTTTTGTCAACAACTGTGGGTAGTCATGCTCACTAGTCTACTTCATTACCTAGGGTGGAATTTTATTTTAGGGGGCAAATTCAAGTCATCTTAACTAACAAGAAGCTTTATACCCTATCAAGTATAACTTATTATTTAAAGCTCAAATAAACAAGCTATTGGGGAATATGCAGACTATAGCCATGACCATAATATAATGGAGCCTAATCGACCAAACCATCTGATATAGTCTACTGGCCAAACTATTTGATGAAGCCTACTGACCAAATCATTAGTCAGAAAGCTCTAGCCGTAAGCGCTTCATTGTGGAGCCATCGAGCCAAACCACGCGGCCAAAGGAAACAGGCCATGTCCTTACTGAATGTGAGTTTAATATTATAAGTGATAAGATATTTGTTTTATGTGTGCTAAAATTAAATATAGATTTATCACTTTCAACAAACAATTACCAAATGCTGATGAATTTTGCTCTTGCTTTAGGTGATATATTTTTTACTTGAATGTTTTAAGATTTTTATAATTTAAAATTTTATTGATTTTAGGATAGACCCTTCTAGTTAAAATATTTTATCAACTCAACCATCATCGGGGAAAATAACTGAAATACCTGAAATACTCATAGTTGATGTTTTATTGTAGCTTATTATTTGAATCATTAAGCACCAATCACATCAACTCTAGCCCTTATGAGGAGGATCAAAACAGCTTAAGCAGATGTTGAGCTTTATCAACTCTAATTCTTATGGGAAGGAGGTCATATTAACTTAAGTGGAGTTACAGTATTTTCAGCTCTAGTCTTTATTAGGAGAGGATTAACTGGTCAAAATGGCTACATGGTCTCGTCAACTCCAGGGCTGTAAAGAGGAGAATCAGACAAGTTAAAGGTAAGCACTTGGTCTTGTCAACTCTAGTTCCCGTGAGGAGGAGAATTGAACTGACCAAAAGTGCAACTTACAACTCTGCCCGATGATAGAGCGACCGAGTCACGTAATTATTGATTAGAAGTTGATTTTAGAAAAAGACATTGTATAAAGGCTTCCAAATATTATATGCATGCATCTCAATGAAAAATACATTTTAACTTGAAATTATTTCTTTTCCACGTAATATTATCATACCATTTTTCATGCATTGATCGAAACACATACAGACAATTTAAACTTGTTAGTTTGGACTAAATTTTAAGGGACTTTATTATTTTTTGCATGGATGTATTATCATTGAATACATGCATATATTCAATTATAAGCATTCAACTTCGTCTTTTATCAGCCAGTGTTGTGTTGTTGATCTGATGGAGAGTGGGAGACGAATGTGAATCTCCTAAGTGTGTAATGGAATGACGGTTCATCTTTTAGTTTTTGGAATACAGTAGGATAGAATCAAAACACGTACTTATAAATAGAAAGGATATGCATACTTCATAAAATATTATTTTTAGTTCGATGTTACAAGTTCATAAGTTTACCATCCAATTTGTTTCTAAAATAGATAAATGGTAAATATTATTTTTAATTTGATGTTACAAGTTAGCTGACATTGATTTTAGTTTATTTACAACACTTTTGAAAAATATTTGAGCAGATCCCATAAAATTTGCTTCAACAAATTCAATCATTTAGAGCTCATACATATTACACATTTCAAAGAATACCTATCAATTATCTATTCTATTTGAAAATGCTTCAGCATTACGCCTATCATAAAAAATCACAAATATTATTATTGAATGAAAATATAGCTTTGTTAATGCTTCAGAGAAACTCACCACACCATCATTGTCTTAACCATTTGATTTGCTTATTGTTTGAGTTAACCTGTCTCTTTTACAGTTGGATGTTATTATGATTTATTATTTATCTGTTAGTATTGTGTATTTTTACCAACTGACTGTCCATTCTCACGCAGGAAATTCCAAATCCCAGGCAAAGTCATGACACTAGGGCTTGTTTGAAGGTTAGAATATGTGTTCTAGGATAGGCTTCAAAATTTACACACAAACACAGGTTTTTTTTGGCATGCTCTCGTCTAGTTTTATTTCCTTGAAGTTAGCGAAGTGTTAAATTCAAGTGATGTGTCTTGAGATGAACATATTCTTCTTTGTAATGAGAATTATCATTGACACTTACCATAGACTTACTTGCATATCTAATAAATTATCAGCCATGCCTTAGACATATGCACAAAAATTTAATTTGAAGTTGATATCTCACATGATACATATTAGCTTTATAAAGCAAGCCTTGCACTTGAAAAGTATATCATCACTCCTAAAACATTTCTAAGACAGCACATAATTAAAGATTTGAATCTCGAGAAAAAAAAAACAAAACAATAAGAAACAAGTTTTATTCACGACTGAGAAGTAACCTTTTACATGCATATCATGAAATCTATTTATAAATCTCATGAACAAAAAGACTAAAGCACAGCAAAAAAAAAGAAGCTGCATGAGTAGACATAAAATTGTCAACCATAAAAAAAGCAACTGCAAAATCTAAAGCAAGAAAAGTATCGAGAGAGTACATCAAGAAATGTAGCTTCATGAATCACCAAAACGAAACTGCATAAGTAGCAACAATTGAACACTAAAAAATAGGAGCCCGTGGGAATAACAAGGACAACAGGACATCAACAACACAAGATGAGGTGAGAATGAGAATAGTAAGATGTACGTGTGACAAAAATCAGAAGGATATATTAATAAATAATTATATTACATGGGTTGGAATGTCATCTATTGAAGATAAAATAGTTGAGAATACAATTAGGTGGTTTAAATATGTACAATAAAAGATCGAAAAAACAATTTGATAAAAATAAGTGTAAGGAGTTAGAAAGAAACGGTAGCCGTAAGATAATATGTACAGAAGTTCAAGATGATCTGTGAAGGATAAGTTTCAACATCTAATTCAGTACTAAGTAGGAACGAATGAAAATGGAGGGTTCAAAAAGCCAGCACCAAATAGATGAAATAAGAATAATGATGATGAAGCTGATGATGAGATCTAAGAGAATAAGATGGCATCAATAAGGCAGTAGTAATAACGGTGCGTTCTAGGAAAAAAGAATCACCTGACCTTTCTTCTCGATGGGCATATTTACAGAACTTTCATCCACTTTTTTTGTAATTAAAGAAGTTGATATTTCTGAAATAACCGATTGAATACCAGCAGTAGGATCTATTTGTTCAGTTAAAATAACATCTATGCTGTTTGTATCTGTATAACCATGCTCATATTGTTGCTTTTCTTCATGTTTTAAGTGGTGCATAGGACTTCTAAGAATCACTGTATCCAAACAAGAAAAATAGAACAAGCATGAGACAAATTAAACTGCATAACTGTAATATATGATGCTTATTAACTGACCTGGAGAAGGAAGCATCTCAAATGAATTAGGTGGTGGCAGGGAATTGATGAGAAGAGTGGTTTCCTCCCATGTCCAGATAAGAAGTGCTGAGCATATTGCAGCAATTGCAAGAGAAAGTTTCTTACCCCTTAGTCCTCTGAAACTGCCATTAATAGCCATTTGTGAGAAAATGAGATCATGTCGACATTGTCATCAATATGATACCTGTAAAAAAAAAAAGCAGAGAAATAAATGTATGAAACGCTACTTATTCAACACAAAGGCAAGCTATGGTTTTTTTCTTTGATGATGGTGCATGCATGATACAAGTGAATGGGTCAAATATCGCATGATAGTGAAGTAAATTTAAATCAAACAGATTAAAACAAAATAAAATTTATTTCAAGTACCAATATGTGCATCACGTAATAAACTATTTACAGTTCTCTAAACAGTGCTACGAAAATGTGCACCAAATGTGCACAACAGTAATAAAAAGAGAGAGACAAGAATAAGAAAATAAGTGCACGCCACAAGGCATACAAGGATAATAGCTAAAATTTAATCAGTGATTCAATGCATCTGACTGCAATATTGTCTGAAATCATCAAAAAAACAATTGTCATTACCTCACCATGCATATCTAAGCTTGTACCAACATAGCAGATCTTGCTTCACTAAGCATTTGCACCTTCAACCTCGACTCATGGAGCTGAAAATGTTATTTGTATCTCAACCAAACAACATTATCTCCTACCTCTTGAACAATTCACCTTGACGAATCATTGGTTATAAGAGTGGAAAGGACTATAAGGAGAAGATTTTGGCCGAAATGTGTAATCCTGCTCGAGTTTGAAATTATGCAAGCCTACCATAAACCAAAATCAATTTCAGATATCCAGCCTCATATAAACAGACAAAAGAACACACACACACACACAAACAAAATAATAATAATAAAAACAACCAAGCCACACAAACAACCCTTAGCATCCCGAACTCCCTTATGAACTATAACAAAAAAGATTAGTGTGAAATGAAGTGAAGCCATAAAAACAAATCATCATCAAGCCCACAATTTGCACTGGATTTTTTGAAACCACCTTTTTCATTCATTCACCATTGAGTATTACATGAGGTTTTGGACATATTTTATAATATTGGAGTATTAGCTAGTTGTCATATTAGGTATGTTAACTGCATTGAAAAGTGACTGCCAGTGATATGATTTTATATGCTAGAAAAAAGGGTTAATATTGATGCAAGACAAGCTCTTAAAAAAAATTATATGTTCATGAAAAGTTCCTTGGCTATGATGTTTTCATATTGGAATACATAATCTTCTTCTATCAATCCCAAAATTATCATTTTAATGGTTAATATTTTATGCAAATGGCGACTTATTCTACTAGAACATTATGCTAAAAATTAGATCTAAATATATAATAATCTATATCATATTATATGAGTCATATCTAAAAACATGTATTTTTGAAGTGGAGAGCTATTTGGAAAAGAATTTTAAACGTAATAATTTTAAATTATTACATCAAATAAAGATAATTAACCATCCCATGCAAATTTGAAGAAGAAGAAAATCCAATATCTCCCTAAAGATTTTGGCCAACCATATATATAAACAATAAAGCACCACAATCCTCTCCGAATTCATGAGGACTTTACACACGTGAATAATTTTAAATATTAAAATTTAGTGCTAATTCTATTTTTGGAAGGAGAAATTCCCCCATGCACGAACAAATTGGAGAAATTCAGCCAAGGCATGCAATCAAGTAATTAATCATATAGGATGAATTTCAAATTTTGAATTTTGAAAGAAAAGCTTACTTGGAAGGTGATTTCACCTATGGAATGAGGGAGATTTGAATAATTCTACCAAGGTATAGATCAAGCAGAATGAAAGAATTAAGATCATGGAAGAATTTCAAAATTTAATTTTTGGAGGCAAAACTCAAGGGGAAATGCATGGATTTTCAGCCAGGAATGTGAGTGGTTCATTCTGAAGTTGGAGGCAAAATTACGTATTTAAAGCATGAAAATTTTGGCCTGTAATTAAGGAAATTATTTTCCTGTAGAGTATTATGCATTTAATTTTTTCTCCTTTTCTTTTCATAATGTAATCTAATGTAAAGGTTGGTAACTGTAATGAAATATGAATAAAAATTAGTGAGAACTGCTTCTCTCTAAAAGCCAGAGCTAGGTGACTCTTAAGTTTAGGCATAACTTAGTGGCCCTCCCTCTTGATGAGCTAGATGAATCTTCGAACAAAATAATCATCGGACTCATGTTCAAGAATCACACTTGAATAATTCATGTTATTATCTACCACTACTCTACCCTCCACACGTCAACAATTTGGCATCATAGCAATGAACATTGACATGCATGCATATGAAGGTGCTTTTGATAATTCATGCATCTTTTTGGAAGAGTTTTGTGAATTGTTCTAAACTGGCATAATGGTCTCTCTTTATTTCTTTTTACAGACCCGTCCGACGTTGCTTTATTTTCTCATAAATTTTCAATCCTACAAAGAGTTAATGACTTCATAGCCATCTTGTGTTGATACGTTGATACTTTGGTGAGTGTAAACCCTTTGTGTGTGTGTGTGTGTGTGTGTGTGTGTGTGTGTGTGTGTGTGTGTGTGTGTG